TGTCCTTCGCCTACGCCTAACAGAGCCCTCTACTTGCTATCTTCACTCCATCCTCAAGTCACATCATTTCTTGAATTAATAATTAGCATATATTAAACAACCAATTTTATTGGCATCATTGTTTTTTTTCTTGAAATAGATTGTTTTCATGAATTCCTTTCTCATCAACATATTTTGACTTGCTATGACCGAGCTTCACATGAGAGACAAGCTGGTTCTTGATAAAATCGTGCCCCGTTTTCAATTTCCACCACAGGCTTATCATATCCTCGCAATTAGTCACATATGAAATTCCATACATGCTTGCCAATCAATTTTTTGGGCCATGATTCATAAAGTTTCATTCAATAAGGCACATTTCACATGTATATGATAATATCAATATCCTAATTAAGACTTAGCAAACATGTTAGTCCTTTAATCGTGTTGTCATTCAATTCGTCAAAACTAACTAAAGGGCTAGATGCACTTTCAATCTCTTCCTTTTTGGCGATTGATGACAACTATCATTAAAGCATACAAAGATATCTAATTGAAGTTTTTGAATGCATTGAAATAGTAGAGCTCCCCCTTAATATGTATATATGAATGAAATACACAAAAGTGGCCACAAATTCCAATTCCACATATTAAGCCAAATGGAAGCTCTCCCTACTCAAGGTATTGGGGGGTCACGATGCATAACATAATCACAAAATAAGAATAAATAAAATGATCACATGGATTTCCCCAAGCTAAACACACATGGTCTTACATAAATAAAGACATAGTCTCACACACATAGCACACATTACAAATGTTCTCAAGTCCACTCACTAAGATAGGGTGTATTACAAGACTAAGCATCTCTCGACATTAGGTACAAGGCATAAAGTCTCATGAGAGAGACACTGTAGTTGTATTACAATTCTTTAGAACTAGATAAAGCATGAAGCACGTATGAAATTTAATCAATATCTTTCATCCTTTGTCATCCATCACCACAACAGCGACTACAAGATGCACAAGTTATTTCGTCTCATCACCACCATCTCCCTCACCATCTGAACGCGGAGCACCTAGAGGTCTCGAACCACTCTATCCTGAAAGCACCTAAGTCCTAAAAATTCCATAGCCTCCAAACCGGTAGCCACCATGACAACTGCTACTGCCACCAGAGAAGTCGTTCATCCATCCTAAAATTGTCTCGTCCACTGATCGAATCTCACTGTCATGCACATGACTGGAGGTGGAGAAGGATGATGAAAAAACTGACGGCAGGAGGAACACCCGACTGAGGTTGAGGACGAGTTGGTTGAGGTGCTCCAAATAAGTGATGTGTGATCCACTCTCTGATATCTCTCTTGAGACTCCTCAAAGGTCTCAGACTTACTGGTCGCGTCATCTAAGATAAGATATCTGGGAAGCTGAAATAAATTCCATCCGGGATAAGAGCTGCTTAAGGCGCCGTTCGGTTAGGCCGAACGGCCAGGAACAATTCCAAACTAGTACAAATTATCGAAGAAACCGATCGGCTGGGAATCAATTCACCGCAAACGAACCAAGCCTAAGAGTTTCTATTGTTGTAGTGTACACTCTAAACCCGAGCTAAGGGCAAGAACACCATGAGTAAATAGTAAATAGTTTCCCATCAATACTACCTTGAACTAATAAAGACGTGGCCCGTAGTCAAGATATCAGCTCCAAACGCATACGACGCGCCGATAAAATTCGGTTTTCGCCTGGCCCCGGCTCCGGCCCCCTGGATGCCATGCGCATTTCGGAACGCAGGGGACGATCCAGTGACTCCAGCGAAACGAGGACGCCAGAGGGAGACCTTTGCATTCCATGAAGATGGCCGGACCAGGCCACGTCAGCCGCGAAAAAGCTCCAAGGCGCCCCCAAAGATTTTATAGTTGGGCAGCAGGTGGGCCGGGGCATTATCCGCCCACGTGGTGGGCTAGGCATCTCCTCCTCCGTGGTTTCCGTTTCGATTTGGCCTCTGGCAAAGCGAATGGCAAACGGGGCTTCGGCACCACAGTAGCGGTGTGGATCGAGAAAACCCGGGCCAGCGCGCAGCGACAGGGAGGAAGGGAAGCGGGAGCGAAGCAAGCATTCAAGCAGCGCAAAGCGGCGCGGATGTCTTGCCACCACGCCGACACCCATGGAAAGGAAAGGAAAGGAAAGGAAAGGAGTGGAACGCGCAACAGGGCCGGGGACGACGGGTCGAGGGGACGCCGGGCGGGACCACGCTCGCAGCCAGGCATCCCACATGGCTCGTGGCGTCGCAGACTTGGCCGCGGGGGGCCCGCGCGGCGAGCAAACAAATAAAGCGGCCGTGCCGGTTACTCAGTTGGCTGTCCTGGAGCGACGGCAGTCTAACGCGAGCATCAATCGTGGTCGGCCTAGTTCAGGCGTCATTTCGCCCGCCGTGCCTAAACGTGCTCTGTCTTTCATCTTGAGGCTAACGACTGTTTTAGTGGTTTGAGAAAAGTTTCAGAGAGAAATTTAGGCTGTTTTTTTTTTCCTTCCTGCGTTTTCAGGAAGGCAGGCAGTATACGGAGTTAGGCCTCCAAACAAAGCATGATATCTGACTGCTCAGGAGGTAGCACAGTCCCACTTTGATATTGGCAGGCACTGCCAGATAGAGAGAGAGAGAGAGAACAGAAACATCACACATGAAACCAAGAAGGCAGGCTTTCAGAGCGCTGGCATACCAGTATACCACTAATGAACAACAAATCTAGGCTACTAGACAACAAGACCTCAGCGAAGGCTGCGCCGGCCGGCCAGCCAGCACCAAGGGCCAACGCTATCCATTTGTACGTCCAAATCCAACACGACGACGAGCCGGCGCCGGAAGAAACCACCGTACCATTATCGACCTTCCGGCCGGTCGATCGGATCTGTTTCAAACGAGAAAAGAAAACCATTCTGCAGGAATCCGGGAGGACGGCCGTCTGCTACAAGAGGACGACGATGGCCTTCAGCTCTTCTCGGGGGCGGGCCAATGGCATGCATGGACGGCACAACGAGGATATGCTTCTTCTCCTATGCATCGTCACAGAGCACACAGAGGCTGGGCTCGTAGAGGGAGTAGCTAGGAAGAACATGGCACTGCAGGATACAGTACACGGAGCCATTGATCGGTGGTAATACTAAATACGCTACATGGAGGACCGAGCAAGGCTCAGTTGGCTAGCTACGCCGGCGAGCGAGCAGCCCACCCGAGTTCGATCCTGATTGACTCGCGTGCCTCACCGGTACCCAGGATTTTCACGGGATTTCTCCGGCGCCTCTCACTAATGGACTATAACTATCATATCTTTCAGCCGTGTTTCTGAAGACTTATATGTTCGTTTGTTGGTTTCAGGCAGGGCTTATCAACCAGCCAATAGTGTTTTTCTCTCCCAACAAACTAGCACCGACCGGACTTATCAGACCAGAAATCAACCAGCGAACAAACTCTTAGAGTATAGGTCGTAGATCTAGTTGTGTGCATGCGTAGTGTTTGAGGCGATAAAAAAAACGCTACATGACGCACGAGTCATGATATATATAGGCGCATACGGCCTGTCACGTAGCCGCGTGGCGCGCACAGCCTAGCACTAGCAGTGGCAGCGGCACGCCCCGCCTGAACGAGGATGGCGACGCGCCAATCATGCAGCGGCCACGTCGCCACCGCCCCGTGCCCCGCCATACGTACGGAACACGTGGAGGCCCCGGCCCGGAGCCCCCGACGATCAGGCTCGCTGACGCCCGGGCCGGCCACCCTGCATCATGACTTTACATGAGCCAGCTCGGCCACGTCCGGCAGCCGCTGCCGCGACGGTGCACCGGCGCGCCGCTCCTCCCTCCCTCAGTCCCTCCCCTGTCGCGTTGCGCAGGGGCAGCGCCGTACTTTCGCCTGACGCACCGGAACCCGCACCGAGCCCCGTTATGGATGGCCGGTGGGCCGGCGAACACGACGCGGCTGAAGAAAGGAAAGGGAAGAGACTGTGGGATCGGACGAACACTGTGACGGTGGGTCCGCCCTCCTCGCCGGCGCTGTCCGCGAGTTGTTTTTACTGCATGGCGAATGCGATGCGATGACGAGGGTCGGGACTCGGGAGGGGCGACGGGGCCACGGTGCGTGGGCGTGGCTGCACGCAGGCCCCGCGGGCGTGCTCGATCAGATCGGCCACGTGCCCATTAATCCCCCCACGTCGCAGAGCATTTCACGTTCCATGTTACGAGTAGTACGACTGCCCAGTAAGAAATAAAACAATCGCGTACCATCATCCCCTCGGATCTTTTTTTCCTCTCTTTTTTTTTCGATGCGATTGCCAATCCTCTCGTCTCTCTATCTTTGCTTGCACACGGGTTTGTCGTCTACGGAAGTTTTTCCTTTTGGCTTTGTGTATGTATTCAACAAATTTTCTATTCAAAATTTAGCGAACGTGACCGGAGCCGCGGAAAGCTCGATAAATGTTGGGTCGTGCGTGGCTGCGTGCAAGTGCAGACCTCTCTCGAGGTCGAGGGGGGCTGGGGTGGCTTGGGATCGCGGGCACGTAATGAAAGGCTCGCGCTCCTCGTCCACCAACGCAAAAACGGAGGAGCATCATTTCAGGTTTCTCTGAAGTACAGATCAGTAATTATGGTTATGGGATGATATACAAATACAAGCAAGCCGTGAAGAACGGTTGAATCTGCTTGCAGCAGCAGCAGCAGTCAGCAGAGGATTACGCTACCGGATGTTAAGCAAGGATACATCGTACACGATGATGTGATCTGAATGAACATTTCAAGATGCATTCATCTATCACATCACAGCACGGGTTAATCACTGGGACGCCATCATCATCATCTTCTTCATGATCACACTAACCGCTCACCGAACTGGGAGAAACAAGACGACAAAGAAAACTAACGGAGGGGGGAGAGAGAGAAAGCTAGAGGTTAACTAATCCCGAGGAAAAATTCGTGGGGGAGAAAAGAGAGGGAAAAATTTACAACGAATGCACGAATGCTGAGGCTTCGGGTCACGGCGGCGAGGAGGAGGATGAGGAGCCGGCGCCGGGGGAGGATGTGGCGGAGACGGCGGACAGCGCCTCGGCGAGGGCCGTCATGGCGCGGACCTGCATCTGGAGCGCCGCGATGTAGTCCGTGGTCTCGGAGAGGAGCGTCGGGAACGACAGCTTCCGGCAGCCGGGCACCAGCCGGCCCAGCACCTTGGCCTTCCTCGCCAGAGGCGGCGTGGCGGTGCCCTTCGCCGCCGCCGCCGAGGCCGAGGCAGCGGAGGCGCTGGCGGCGGCGGCATCATGGCGCGAAGGCGGGGACGCGGGGGCGCGGAGGCGCGCGCGGTGCGCGGCCTGGAGGCGGCGGCGGCGGGACGCGAGGATGGCGCGGCTCCAGTGCGTGCGCCCGCGCGCTGCGACGGCGAGCGCGCGGTCGGCCGCCTCGCGCACGGCCCTGCCGCGCGGCGGGGCCGGGGCCGCCGCGCCGGCGGCGGCGGAGGGCCCCGCGCGCACGACGCGGATCGCCTCGAGGAGCTTGGACGAGTAGATCTCGTGCTCGCGCCGCGTCCGCCACTTGGACGGCTGCGCCGGCGCCGCGGGCTCCGCCGCCCCGGCCGCGCGCTTCCGCTTCCGGCCCCTTTCCTCCACCTCCACCTCCGCCGCGGGCGTCGAGCTCGACGTGGACGCCATTGCCAGTGCGCGCGCCAAAAATCGTTGCTCGCAGAAGGAAGCTTGCTGGTGTATCAGACGCTAGGAGGAAGGAGCTGCGATCCAACAAGGAGGGAGCTGGAAGAAGATGGGCGCTGGCTTTGCGCTCGGCTCGGGGCAGGGGAAGGGAGGAAGGAGACGGGTGGTGGTGGGATGGAAAATGGGGAGGCTGGGGGAATATAAAGGGAGGGGTGGCTCGGCTCCCTCTCCTCCTGTGTGATCCGCTTGGATTTTCTGCCGAAACTCTTCTGCGCTCATGTAATACGCGCATATGCATTTTTTTTCTTTTTTCTTAAAATATAGATCCCTTGTTTTCTTTCCTTCTGGTCTAATCCAATTTGCATGTGTGACACTGGGAGTGAGCTGCTAATCATGAGGTCCACTGGGCTTGGACTTTATGGCCCGGTGTCCACCATTGTGGTCACGCACGGAGGTGTAGGGATCGCGTGGGCATGATGGCCTTTCCTAGTTTCCTTTGTGCGCGAGAGCGAGTGCAAGCAGTGACCTCTTCTCCTCCTCTGTCTCTGTGGCTGGCTCTGTTCTGCTGTCCTAGCTAGTGTGAAACTCTGAACTGCAGTGCCAATACCGCGTACGGTAGGTACCGTATCGCGTCGCGTTCCATCTCAATCTGTTTGGGAAAATCGACGGTAGAATGACACCGCATATATACGCTTGTTGTACAGTACAGATTACCGATGTCGACTCTTCCAAGAGCCTGAATCTTTTGTCGCACATGTCAATCGCCTTCAGAGTTTCAGCTTGCATTGCATGCATGTCTGATTGCAGGTCCAGTGCCAAGAAGAAGGCGCCGAGCGCTAAACACAATAGCGGGGCTCTTGCTATCGCTAGAGGTCTCCGTGCATTGCATTCGTTACAGGCAGAGTGCCCCAACCCAAACGAACAGCACCAAAAGAGGCTTCATTTTCATGCCCCCATCGAGAACTTGCCCACACTACTAGCAGGGGCACGGTCTCACGGAAGTGACAGGGTTTATTACGGAGTAGGAGTACTAGATGCATAAGTGCTCCTACAGCTGATGCTGAGCCTTCTGTCTGTGAGCCTACAGCTACGGCCACACACCGACGGAAGGCGTGCAGCGCCTGCCACGCCCAAACCCGGCGATCCTGCTGACTGCTGTGATCCAGATCAAGCGGCGGTGGCTCAGGCCTCGCATCCTAGCTAGGCAGGCATCGCATTATTTCTGGCTGGGGCCGTAGCGTAGCTAGGCGCGGTATAACGTGGGGTTTCGGCTGGCTCCCGCTCTGCGATCGATCTCTAGTGCTACTAGCTACCTGCAGGCCAGTTTGTTTAGGCGGAGCCGGCGAGTGATCCGATGCTAGTGCTACGCTTTAGCCATGATTAGGGGGGGGCAGCACACGCCGGCGCGAGCGTCTGCTTTGCTGTAGCCTGTAGCCGGCCGGCGCTAGCGTAGCATGTGGCGCCATGTTCCTCATCTCATGGGCGCGCCGGGCCTGGTCCGCTGGTCGTAACATGCATGGAGCCCCGGCCGGGGGCGGGGTCACATGCGACTATGCGTGGACGTCGCTCGGCGCAAGCAACCCCCGCGCCGCTCCGCCTCCCGCTCAACTGGGCTAATCATTTCGTGTCTTGTTCCCCCCGCGTGCTCTTCCCTCCAAACCCGTGCTTATCCTCTCTAATTTGTTGGTTTGCAGGACATAGGATATGCCTGTGGGCTGTGGAGAGTGTGTTGAGTTGAAAGCAAACCATTCTTACTGACTGACAACCAGTTACTACCACTAGTAAAGATGTACAAGTAGTATTTGACCCATAACGATGAGGATGAGGCTGGTGGGAAAAGAGAGAGAAGGGCTCAGGCCATGTGCGTTCCACGTTGCATGGTATCAGTCAGGATGGATCAACGTTGCTTGGCCGTGTAAAAAGACCCGTGGATGCTCTCGCTCGCCCCCGTTTTATGAGGCGGCTGCCGAGCCTTTAATGGCCACGCCAAGTCAAATGCCCGCCTCGGCAGGCGTAAACTAGGTGAAAGCAGGCCGCTCGTACGCCCGTAGCCGTCGTGATTCCAGCGTTTCTTCTGTTTTTTTTCCTCCTCTCTGTTTAAAAACGAGGGCGTCTGCAAGCTCTGCATGCCCCCGCTGCAGCTGCAGGGCCGCGTGTGTGTTTTTAATCCCAAAGCCTAGCGATAGACTGCACGCAGGCCTGCTCCCTCGCTTCCTAACAATGGTTTGCATCATCCTCCGCCGTACACATGCGTGCGTGGCTCTTGTGACGTTGAGATTGGCGAAGCAACCTCTGGGCGATCGACGGCGATTCATTCAGGGAGTTGAGAACTGAGAAGGCACATGTCAGGGAGCAAAGGTGATTAGGCGAACAAGACAGAGAGACGCAATGCAATGCAGACTGCCGATTGCTCTGCCACCAAATAGAGCATCAGCATCAGCGTTGAAACTTGAAAGTCATGGTAAGAACTGAAAAAAAAGTTACTACCCCTCCATAGATTTGGAGCAGGCAGAGATCATCAAGCACCACGTTGATGAGTTGCCTTCCATACTTCTGGACCAATCGGCTAATTAAATACCATTTGCTTCTTAATGGGGAGCCACATGGGCGTCACTGCCTCATCACTACCGCGCGATGCCAGTACGTCTTTCTACGTCACACTGATGAAACGCGGAGACGCTGTCCGATCGAATCTGCTGCTCTTCTACTCTTTACTCAAACCATCGCGGTTTGAGTACTACAAGCAAGTACTAGTACTGCTTCTTGGTTACCGATGGACTTAAACCATCTGGGCATCTGATCATGGAATCAATAGTCCAGGTCAAAGCACTGAAAATTGACCAACCGCTCGACTGCAGACAGCCTAGAATAGAACACACATCGTATACATACTCGCCTTCAGAAACACAGTAAAACTTCATGGCACCCGATTGGTTTGGATCTGATATGGACGACAGGAGGCCCTCAGACAGAGAGGGAGCAAAGCCTCAACGGTGCCATGATAACGTTGAGCAAGCTAAGGACACAGTAAGCGGCAATGATCCGTCGCCAATGTACCATGCAATGCAGAAACCACATGGAAGTGTAACTGTGCAAAGACATCGCGCGCCTAGAAAAGATCCGGCACCTTTTCGTGATCTGCGGTAGCGTGGCAGCCTGGCAGGGGCCGGGGCCCTGGGCGACGCGCCTCAGTCATACGGGCACTTACGCCCGTGGCTCAGGCAGTCAGGCTGTGATTGGGTCGGCAGTCGGCAGCGTCGTAATGAGATCATGTGGCGTGCGGCGAGGCCGGCGGGCGGGCGTCTGTACGTGAGGGGCACCGGACGAAGCCGAACCGTACCGAGCGGCATGCAGGCGCAGCCGCGCAGGCGGCGTGCATCAGCCGTGCCGGACGCCGCGCCAAAGCTGGGCGCCTGGGCCGGTTGTTGGAGTTGCTCCGGTGGCAGGCTGTGTCCGAGCTAGGCGACGAGCCCGCCCGGCGCCCGTCCACTCCACCACCAGCCGGCACTGCCGAGGCAGGGCGGGTAGCCGGCCAGCTCGGTCCATGTACTTCTGTTACCTTTTTGCCTGCAGGTGCGGTGGTATCTATCGGTTTCGCGCACTCGCTGGAGCGGGCGATAGAGATGTGGTTTGTGTACTGCAATATATGTACGTGGCGCCATGTAGAGCTCCAATCATGCGCGGTTGAGCCGGGTAGGGAGGCATTGAGGCCGTTGTGGGCTTGTGGCCTTCACCGGTTAAGGAATCCTTGCGAAAGTCTGAACGCGATTATAACCAATCGTATGGGCCAATGCAAACCCAAGTAATGTAAATGACCATGTACGCTGAGGGGGTGTGCTGCTTTTTAGTCCCAACAGAGGAAGGAGGAGAGCCTTTACTCTACCATTTGGTGCTAAAAAGCAAAAAAGCTTAATCAAACGTGGCCTAACTCAAGTCCCTAATTATGGAGGCCTCCACATCTTCCCCTTCAACCTATCCTTCCCCTTTAACCTATCTCATAGGGTGCGTAGGGATCGGATACGGACATATATCGTTAATATTGTATTTGTTTTCGGATCCAATACATACATATAGCTAGATAGGATACAAATAGACATCGACATAAAAAATATACGATTTGAGTATTCTGATACGGATACGGTATCGGATGTTGAATATCCGGACTACGTGTTACATATCTAAACTCCTCTAAACAAATTCAAACTCGAATATGGTCGGAAAATATCCATACCATTTGCACCCCTATTCCAAGAAAATATTTTTCTGCAATAACTCACTCCACATGTCTTTTTTGTCCCGACTCTCTCTTGCACCTCCATCCTATATCCCTCCTCTGGCGCACCCTCTCGGCAATGCCCCTTGGCCTGGCACGGCTCCCCTCCATGTGCTGTCTCTGGTGGTCCTCCCCTTCTCCCCCGCGCATCCATAGCTCAGTATATTGGAACAACTGTGAATACGAATACGTGAGAATGATGAGTTGGGTCTCATATGCCAGTGTCTACTGTAATGGATTTGAGGGACCTATTTTAAGGACTCTTGTTGGAGTATATACGAAGAAAGAAAACCCTCAATAGTAGGTGAAGCCCTCAAATCAAAAGTAAGACCCCTGATTTGAGGGCTCACATTGGAGATGCTCTTAGGCATTGTAGAATTTCATGTACCAATTCATTAAGCAAGCCTCATTGGCATGTTCTTTGTCGTCCTAGTTTATAAAACTTGGTGTGTGGGGACGAGGAAACTCCTTCCTTAGTGGACGACACCTGGGTGACCAGAGTTAAACGACAAATTGTGAGGCTCACTAGCTTACTGCACTTGTCTTAGGTAGCGGTGGTCTTTGTGGCTTGGCCAACACCATGACCAAGGTAAACGTTGGTGACTAGGAGCATATCCTTTATTTGTGGAGCTCGAGCATGGACTAGATGTTGTATTTGGCACCATGGGATAAGTCTTCATCTACAAGAGTTTGTCCTCTCTTGACTTGCTCTTACCTTACGTATTTAAGC